GATAGATAGATAGATAGATAGATAGATAGATAGATAGATAGATAGATTGATTGATTGATTGATTGCTGGTCCTCTCCATGTTTGCTTGCCGCAAAGTCTGATAACACCAACAAAGTTAGTGCGATGGTCAAAAGGAGGCAAATGACAAATGAATTACTCCTGACCTCAGGAATGCACCGGTCATTGGATGACGTGATAGTGCTGACACTAGGGGAAGCCGCTCTGAAAAACTCCGGTCACTGTTTGAACTTTTGTGTGCTGCACAGCTGGGGATAAACTTGGCTAGATGCGATTTTTCTCAGGCCACTGTCACTTTCCCGGGGCACGCCGTGGGCCCATCCCAGGCCAAGGCGTGAGCAGGGGAGCGGTTTTCCTCGGCCGGCCAAAAAAAAAGAACTGATGCAGTTTTTAACGTGTCCCTCTTACTGAATCATAAAAGTCAAACATCAAACATGTGGGATCTTTCAGATCAGCACTAGCCTGTGTAACAACCGTGTCCCATCATAGTGCCCCCACAAGGCCCTTATGGACATCTATGATCAGAAATGATCAATCAGGAGCTTTTCATTTAGGGAAACATCTGGAGCAAAGCTGACTTCCTGTTCAAAACCGACTGTTAAAATTGTTAAAACTGATTTTTTTTCCTCTTAACTTAATATTGCGATAGAAGGAACCTAAAGTAAATTCTGAAAAAAGGTGGGAATTTGTCATGGAAACTACAGAAAAAACTCACAGTGTCAAAAAAGACTAATTTTAGGTTTGAGTACACTGTTGAATTGTATGGGGAACCAAAAATAGCAGAACATGTAAGACTGACAGAAGGTACAGAAGGCGTTTTTTTGGAAACATTGTCCCACACGTATCGAATCAGACGACTTTCTGAACGAGGGTGGCGGGGATACGTGGAAAATCCTGTCAGCTGACAAACAGATGCCAGAAAGACGCTCTTTGTGGGAAAACAAGCGCCCCCATTGTTGCTCTTAAGCAACTAGAATTCACCATATTATTCCATTACTCTGACATTTCTCCGCACAAACCTGCAACTCGGAAACCCGAAAGCCACTCGTGAGGTAGTCAATGACAAAAAGAAGCAATCTTCTTACAGAGACACACCCAGTGTCGTGTACCGTTAGATAAGAGTATTTATTGCATGCGGAGTTGTTGGGTTTACTGAAGAAGGACAGTTGACTTCTTAAAGTGACAGACTATTTCAAACACATCAAACAATAACAGCTAATTGTAAAAAAATATCCACTAAAGAAGCTAAAAATCTCACATAAGTACATGTGAGACATACAGTTCAGTGTCTTCTCGCGCTCATAGAGAGTCCACCGGTCATAGATGTGGTCATTTTTAGTGTGTGAGCGTGCCGTCGGTGAGCCAGATGAGGGCACTGTGCTGCTGTGTGTGGTGCACTGAGGCCGGGGTCTCCTCCTGTCAACAACATGGTGGGTAAAGCCCATGAGCAAACAGCAAATTATTCTGACAACAGATTCCTTTTAATCTGTTTTAATCTCTCCTATTTGACCGCTCTAAATGATGCATGACCAGGATGGATGGAAGACCTGGCTGATAGAAATTTTTTTTTCCCCATGGTTTAGAAACGCTTTTAGTTGAAAAACACCTCGATTTTATATCAATTCCTGTAAAAAAACAACTCTGCATTTCATTTTCTATTCTTGATCATGTCAGGGACATTCGCGGGCCCTCGCTGGCAGTCCAGTCCTGTCGAAAATGTGCTGGAGATAAACATCAAATGCTCTATGACGCAGGTTTAACAATGTCCTACTTGGCATGGCGAAGCTTGTCACAATGCCAGTGGAACAGGACAGAAATCAGCCTCACCCCTGGCCCCGAATATCCCCCTAAATGCGGATTTGCTGCTTGAGACAAAAATACGATTTTAATGACGCGCATTCAGTGTGTTTTCTGAACGTCCTAGCAGCCATCTAGATTGCGACTCCCCTGGAGTTTGGCAGTAATTATGCGATGAGCGGAAAAACACCGAGCCGAAGCCGCTTTACTGACATGGAAACGAGGAGCGCAGATCTGCGGGCTGATGGGAGAATTTAGAATCGGAATATTTTTCTCTTCTATTCTTAACCGACTTTGAACCAAACCAGCCTCCAGAAGAGCCGGTAGGTGGTTGGTGGGTGCATGGTATCGCCAGGCTCTCTGGCAGGAAACCAGCCATTGTTCGGGGTTCCAGCTGCACTGGGAGGGAGGCCACAACTGCGAGCTGTTTTTCTGTGATCTGCACCAATGTGGGGCAGTTTGTAATATCTGCCAATGGTTCATCCTATCGGGTTCCAGACTTTGATATTTTTTCCTTCTCTTTTGCCGAAGTTTGGCGCCAGGTGTGAGGGCTTTACCTCCTACAGTCAAGTGAAACAAAAGTGGATCCTAATTCTGTTATGAGTAAGTAAAAACTGTGTATGAAGCTTTGTTTCAAAGGTTAAAACAGTGGAAAAAGCACCAAGAGAACAGAAGAGAAGAGAAACATACAAAAAATTGTAGAACCAAACCTTTGGGCAGTGGCCATTGCTTTAGTAGACCGGTCCCCTCTGGGCCTAAAATGGATCCATAGACTCACAAGCAATCATTGACCAGCTGACCTCAGATTGTATCAATGGATGTGGACATCCAAGAGGTCAAAATGTATGCATTAGGCTTAAAATGGATTTTTAACTAAAAAAGTTATGTTTTTTGTAGCAGGACATAATCAAAACGATGTTTTGATTCTTAACAGGTCTAAAAAAATAATTCAGTATAACCTCAGACAGCTTTATTTGCAGGACAAAAATGTATTTTTCTGACCTGAGGAACTCAGAGGTTAAGTAGTAGCCGGGTGCTAAATAATTAATCTGCAGCAACTGTGAGAACTTTCATAAAAAAGGAGGGAACACACAAGCCGCCAACTCAGACTGAGAACGGCTGCATTTTTCTTCTGAATAATTAGGTTCCGAGTCAATCCCAGCATTCACAGGCTAGCATTACTCGCCATCAAAGCCATAAAAAACTGGCGTGTTGTCATCATTTCTCGCATTTTTCATTCCACTCTAAAAGATTAGACGACTGATGTCTGCAATCTCAGCCTCTGCAGTGGGCTAATTCGATACAGCCTCTTGGCAAACTAGCCAACCTAAGGACGGATGCGCTTGTCATTATGCCCGCAATAAAC